TATATATATATATATATATATATATATATATATATTACATATATGTATATATATATTGTCTATTTGTATATCGCACTGTTGGTCTTCTTCTACATCTTTTGTTTGAATTATAACTCGCTGAGAGTTTGTTTGTGGTGTACGTACACCTCAAGGACAACTAAAAAGTATAAATAAAACCCAAATTCACTGAAGCACTTCATTACAATCAGGTGTGCATACACCTTTCAGGTGTATGCACACTAAGGGGGTGTATATATATACAGTGTTGGGGTGTATGTACACCTACCAGGTATATATAAACTATAGATATATCTTGTTTATCTGCGTATAGTTTTAAAGTTAATGAAAAAAGAGTTATTTGTTTCTTAAGAAGTTCAAACAAACAAAACCCAAACTAAAACTGACAACTGCTGTTCTGTTGTCAGCATCTGTCGGGTCATTGGGGTGTATATACACCTCAAGATATACGCATATTTAGGGTTTAGGGTTTAGGGTTTAGGTTTACAGCGAGCTGGTGTTTACTCTTCTTCTTGCTCCTCTTCTTCCCTCACGTTGTAGTAGCCGATTTCCTGTGCAAGCAAACCCTAAACCCTAAACCCTAAACCTTAAACCCTAAACCCTAAACCTTAAACCCTAAACCCTAAACCCTAAACCCTAAACCTCAAACTCTTTGATAACTTGTGTGAGGGTTTATGGCTTTACACCAGTTAATATCACGTAGCTGCTATCTTCACAAATCTCAGGGGGTTAGGGTTTAGGGTTTAAGGTTTAGGGTTTGGGGTTTACCTTGAAGTATTTCTCTCGGGCGGCGTGGCTGCGCTGTTCATAAGTTGGGTCATCTACGGTGTACCTGTCCCACAAACCCTAAACCCTAAACCCTAAACCCTAAACCCTAAACCCCAGCACCCAAACCGTAAACCCCCCCTTAACCCTAGATCCCAGCCCCTAAACCCTAAACCCTAAACCCTAAACGAAAAGTGTTTTTCTTATGCATATGGCAATGGGAGTATGAGTATAAGGAGGAGGTTTGGTGAGTGATGAGGGTTTAGGGTTTAGGGTTTAGGGTTTGATAAATATACTTGTGGGGTTGACAGAAAGCAAAAGGAAAGCGCGAAAAATGCATATGTCTCTCTGGCCTAATACCCCAAGGATGAATGCCCTGAAAATCGGGTTCATTATCAACCCAGCTATTAGTAAAACGGATACAGAAATTCCTGCATACACCTCAGAATATTATTTATTTATTTGTTTATTTATTTAGATATTTAGTTAGTTAGTTGTTTTGTTTTTTATATTTTAGTTTTTTGTTTTGTTGTTTCGGCGTTTGTTTTTTTTTTGCTTCATTTATTTTATTCATCGCAGCACAGAAGAAACTGCAGCAGCAACAGCAGTAGTAGTAGCAGCAGCAGCAGCAGCAACAGCAGCAGCAGCAGCAGCAGCAGCAGCAATACCTGAGAGTGCTGTTGAAGTAGGGTAGAGAGTAGAGGCTCTTTTGCCATCGGTCAGCCATCAATTTGCGGGCGTCACCTCGACGAAAGCTGCACATACACCTCAATTAGGGTTTAGGGTTTAGGGTTTGGGTCCGTTTAAGCCTTTGTTGTTGCTGTGTCGATGAGAGCACCTTGAGCAGCAGAGCCTCTCCTTTAATCGACTGAGGGTTTTTAAACGCATACTCATCATTGAGGGTTTACTACCAAGACCTTAGGGTTTAGGGTTTAGGGTTTAGGGTTTAGGGTTTAGGGTTTACTGGACGTCGGGGTTGAAAAGCAAATGACGCATAGACCAGCTAATAGCTACTCCCGTTGATAATGTAGCAAGAAACAAATAGTTGTACTGCACACAACAAAAGAATCAGGGTTTAGGGTTTAGGGTTTGAGCTGCTAGGGTTTAAGGTTTAGGCTTTACACGGCTGCGCATCGTCTGCTGAAAACGCTAAACCCTAAACCCTA